CCAACTTCAGTACATTATAATAAGATGTTTAGGGGCTGGGGATTTAGCTCAGTGGCACAGTGCCTGTCTAGCAAGCGCAGGGTCATGAGTTTGATTCCCGGTACCGAAAGAAAAACAAAAAAACAAAAATTATATATATATAATAAGACATTTAATGACATATGCTCAGACTTACTGAGCATATGTAAGTTACTGTAAGACTGAAAAAGACCTGAAGTCTCATCAGTGGCTAAAACTGAACAAGTTGGTCTAGGAAGCTGCTCTTTCATCCACACTAGGAAGTCTTGCCCAGAAGTTTCCCAGCCCAAGAGGTTCCCACTTAGTTGTCTTAAAAATTACCTTAGATGACTCATAAGAATCAATCATAACAGCTAACATGTTTTAAAGCTATTTATGCATATCTGTGACCAAGGAAAATTCTTAAGTTATTGTATACCAACAATAGGCCTTGTATTTATAACCAATTTTTGACATTATTTTGATTGGCTAACAGCCTGAATGGAAACATCACCAACTTTAAAAACATCTTTGTTTTTACCAACTGGTTTAAATTAGCCCACTGTTAAACTATGTGAACTAAAAGGCGTGTGGCCTAATATCATGAGTGTCTATTTCATTATAAGCCAAACAAAGTAGAACATATATTTGAAAACTCACATATAGAAATATACACATTAACCTACACCATACATAAACTTTATGCTATGAAACTTTAAGGCTTGTATTTGGAAGTCTCATGTAAATGTCCAACCCTTTAGCCCTTATTCTGTAATGTTTTAAGTGCATTTGGCTATTTCCAAAAATCTAATCAGTTTTTTATGGAAAGCCCAAAACAGCCAGAAAAAAATAAAAGAAAAATACAATTTGATATGATCTTAAAATGCTTTCACAAAGCAGTTTTGGGTGCCTAAAACAGTTTTAACTGCTTGAAATAAATAAGAAACACAGAACACATGATTACTTTTATATCAGAGTACACTTTTAGATGCATTGGCCACATTGAGCTGTAATAATTTGTTATAGTTATAGTTTGTAACTATGAAAAGACTAGTCAGAACTTTTTAAGGGAAACCAATTAGTGCAGAGCTCTCTTATAATAACTCTCTAATGCCAGTAAGAGAAGGACAGTGAGAAAAACTCCTTTACACTGTGAAAGCAAGAAGTGTTTAAAGAAGGACTAGGCTGGTATTTTTCTTAATTTTGGACCAGAGCTGCTGTAGTAAACCACTGCTCTGACAGCTGTTTCCCTGCATTAGAGTTACTACAGTCAACTGCATTTGCTAGCTGTTCCCATTTAAAAAGCATTATGGAAAGCTTTTGCAAGCAGAAGCAGATAGCCCAGGGTCTCTGAGTTTTAGCTGTTATTTTCCACCCCCTGTGAGAGGTTATGAGGTAAGGGCATCACTTTATATCTCTCATTACTCTCTTTCTCCATCTCTTTCTCTGCCCACAACAGCAAGAGAGTGGATCCCCTTTCAGTGGGCAGGTTGGCCTTCATCACAGTGTCAGCACATCTACTGGGAAGGTGGTAAGGGCCTGATGGGTAGGTGGCTTTGGATTCAATAAGTTTTGAGGGCCCCCAGGAGTAGCAGGAAGCCCTCATAAAAATATCCTAAGCTCGACCTTCCAGAGAGAGGTACAGTGGTGCCAAATGGCTTTTATTTAAAGAAACAGCAGAGTGCCTGCCTGGCAAAAGCAAAGTCCTAAGTTTGATTCCTGGTACAAAAACAACAAAAACAAAATAACAACAAAAGAAGTAGCAGAGAGTTTTCTTTTCCTTTTTCCCTGAGCTGGAAGGTAGTGGTCATGGAAGTTCCAAAGCTAACTTCCCACCCTCTCAGAAAATTAGAGCAGGGGCCCAAACACCAGGAACACTGGGGACTAGGTGAGCCTGAAATGTGAGCTAGGATCATAAACTGTTTCTGGTCCAGTAAATTTATCAAGGCATATCTGAAGAGGGGGTCTGTCATACTACTGGAGAGAGAAAAGCCCAAATCTGCAGCTTAACATTTAATGGAGGCTTACTAGAGGACTTGGATGGAGTTAATCTTAGGTCTCCCTGAAGAATGCTGAGCGGGTTTACCTCTCACCTCATGGGAGGACAGTGGAGGTAGGGGTGATAGGTAAGTGGAGATTTCTATGCTGGTTTCTCAGTCCAGCTGTTGGGACTCAGCTTCCACTGAGGGCCCTTGAGTACCAACCGGGGAGTAGCCTGGGCCAGGGTTCACATGTGCTATCCTAGCTTTCACCAGTTCCACACAACCAGAGATCTCTCTCCAGAAAGGAATCCAGCTCCCTGTCTGGCCAACCTTCCTACTGGTTTCAGTGTGAGACTAACCAGGAGGTGCTAGGGAAACTGTCCGTGGCTTTGAGAGTGCTAGCCTGATATATGAGCTTTCTTAACTGGCCAGCAACATACCCTATTTCTTAGAGTTCTGTAAAGGGACAGAGAAAGAGTGTGAGTATGTGGGCTGGTCATTCCACCACATGTACCCCTGTGTAGAGAGGATGGAGGCCCATATTGGTCGCCAAAGATGTAGTCAGCAACCTCCCCCTCTAAGTTCTTATTCTGGGGTGGTGAAGACTGAAGCAACAGGACATGGTGGGGAATACCTGAGTGTATGTGTGGTTTATTAGAAAGAACAGAAAAGACCTTACTAGATGAAGAGGGCAAGAGGACACCAAGGAAGCACTAGAATCCAGAAATTTATATACAGCTCTGTGGAGGGCAGTGGGGTAGAATACAGCAGTGGCTGCTCTTCCAAGCTTCCCATGGCCAGCAGATGTTAACAGTCCTTCATCTTTCGCAGCTCTACCTTCTCTTGAGCTCTATCTCACTTGCTCTTAATTAACGTACTTAATTTTGCTCAGGCCTTTGCCTTTTGTCCCTTTATTTTTTGTCTCAGTAGGTGCATATTCAAGAGAATTAAAACAGATACTAAGACAAATACTTGTACAGAAATGTTCATGACAGCACAATTCACCATAGCCAAAAGCTGAAAATAGCTCCAATGTCTATCAGTTGACAAATGGGTACATAAAATATGGTATATGTGTGTTACATATGCATATATTACTTTATTCCATACAAAGGGCTTAAGTATAGACACGTTACAGTGTGGATAAACCTCCAAAATATGTTACATGAAAAAAGCTAGACACAAAAAGTCACATATTGAATAAGTTCATTTACATGAAGTATCTAGAATATGCACATCCATAAAGAAAGCACAGTGTTTTCCAGGGGATTGAGAGAAGGGATCAGGGGGTGACTGCTTAGTAGTTCTGGAGGGGTCCTTGGAGGCAATAACATGTTGAGGAATTAGCAGTAGTTGCATAATATCATAAATGTACAAAATGCTACTGGGTAATAGCTTTAAAATGATTAGCTTTAAATTCTATAAATTTCACTCCAATAAAAAAAGAGACAAAAAAAGCTTGGTCTACTGAAGCAAAATTTCTGTCAGTCATTCTTTTTACAGTTTTCTTTCTCCACTATATTTTTATATCATATCAAACATACACTAACACTTTTATCATTTAGAAATATTACTTCATTGTGCATTCTAACATCCTGCTTCACCCAAATATTGCCCAAGACTGGATTTTTCCCATCTCTTTTTAAGACATAATATTTTACTTCCTTAGAAAATTGCCGGGCATGGTGGCACATGCCTGTAATCCCAGAACTCGGGAGGCTGAGGCAGGAAGATAGTTGCAATTTCGAGACCAGCCTGGGCTACAAAGTGAGCTCAAGGCCAGCTTGAACTGCACAGCAAGACCGTGTCTCAAAAAGACAAAAAAAAAAAAAAAAGAAGAAGAAGAAAGAAAATTAAGCGAAACATTTACTTCAGATGCAGATAGGTGAGGACTTCTTCACTTACATTCTTACTCAGCAGTCAAGTGCTATACTTATTACATGTTAAGTTCTGCTGCCTACAAGCTTTCTGGAAACAGAGTAACAAAGAGAACGCTTGATTCTATACTGAGTGTTGTGGAATGTGTTTTAATGTCATATTGGCTCTTATGGATAACTGTAAATAACATAACATAAGACCAGTTATAATGAAATATGTAATGCATGTTATATGCAAAACTGCTTAAAATTTGAGTCAGGAATGAATTTTTGAATAAGTTCTCTGTGTTTTCTAACTTGTAACCATACAAGTAGAGTCTGTGTGCAATGAACTGCTCCCATCTATGTAGTTTAGTTCCCAGACCAGGAAAGTAATGGAGTTGTCATACAATTGCAGTATTTATGTAAAGCATTTACAACATACAGTACTAGGTATGTTATAAACTCTCAATAAAACTGGCTAATTTTGCAACATACCTAAATTGTACTATGCATAACTGTTACTATCTTTTTTTAAAAAAAGTACTAACAGATGAAATTATACTTAACCTATTATGTAGGTTACCACAATTATTTAAATCCAAAGTTGACATAAATAAGAGTTTGTATAGGCATTGAAAAAAGCTTAAGAAGTCATTCCTTAGGCAGGTGTGATGATGGCACACACCTGTAATCCCAGCACTCTGGGAAGCTGAAGCAAGACAATGGAAAGTTCAAACCCAACCTGGGCAATTTAGTGATTTAGTGAGATCCTATCTCAAAGTAAAAAATAAAAAAGGGACAGAGATACAGCTCAGCGTGAAATCCCTGAGTTCAATCCCCAGTATGGGAGAAGAAAGGAATTAATCTTGCTGTATGAAATGTTCTATTACAATTTTTTTAAATGATAGTAGAAAAAGTGTCTTGGACTCTGTCCCTTCCTTGTGTCCACTTTAGGTAGGGCTGTTAAAATACTTTAGAAGTAGAAGAATATGAAGAGTTTGATTCTTAATTTGTTGCACAGACTAAGAGATGGCACAGCATATTCCAAAACTGTGAGACACTATTTTCTTACTGTGTTAAAAATATCAGTATCACCAAAAGATAAATACTATTTTCATAATTTAGAGTATTACCAAGACACAGGAGCCATAAAAAATCAAGATTTTGATCATAGTAGCTGCCAGATGTTTAATGGATACTTTCAGTTATAATAATCAGTAAAACGAAAAGCCTTGGCTTCTGACATATTCCACAGGTGGTTCTGTAAGTATTTGGAACGTCTTGCTTCTAATCGGAGCTGTCTAGCCCTCTCTTCGACAGCTTGTTGCTCTGCTATTTTTTCTATTCGTTTCCTTCTTAGCCATCTGCAGAAAGAGGCAGGTTTTGACTTGGTGAATATCACTTAAACACACTTAACATGGCTTAAAGTTAGGAAATTGACCTTTTTTTATCTTGAAATAGTGTCATAATACAAATTATTAAATAATTAAGTGAGAATCTCCAGGCTTATACATGAGCTCATTCAACAAAGTATAATTACATTTTGGATCAATTATGTAAAGTTAAATTTGTCTTATGATGTTAAAAGTCCAATCCTTTTTTAGAAACATGGTTTTCTAAGCAAATAACTATTTGATATATTCCACATAATTTAATTTTTAATTAGCTATATTTTAAAACAGGTTAACTTAGATTAAAAATACTAACATGATACAGAAATCTTGCCTTATTCTTCTTAGTAGGAAAATTATATAGCTCTTGATTTTTCAACGCATAAACTAGTTCTTCCTTAAAATGAAAAAATAAACCTAAGCATGAAAGCATCAAAAGACATAAAGGAAGAGTCCATATTCTAAAAAAGCAAGTAAGCTTGATTAGTTAAGATAGTAGAAAATTACTACACAGACATATACCTGGTATATAAGTGTTTATGTGGGGTGTGTGTATGTAAATATATATGTAGGAGTTTTTTAGAAATAAGGCTAAATAACTATAAAAAAAAGACCAAAAAGTCATAATTTTGTATGGTCTTTAACTGGATCCCAGTTTAAGCAAATTATCTCTAAGTCATTTACAGGTTAACTAGATAAAAAAGGTGGATATGGGCTGGATATTAAATGAGATCACCATAAAATAAACAGACCACAGAAAGTGTATCTAGCATGGTTTTAATTGATATTTTAAAGTTGTAAATACAGATATACAGAGAAATACCTAGAAGATATCCTTCCTAGAGCTAACGGTCATGACAGTTTCCACTTCCTCAATGTACATTTACCATTTGTTATAATAAAAGGTGTGAGAAAAGAGGAAGGAGAGGAGAGACGGGGTAGAGAGGGAAGAAGGAGTGACAGAAGTTAGTTCAAATAAGTAGACTCAGCACTCAGTCTTCCCACTCTCCTTAAGGCTTATTAACAAAATCATGAAGCCAGGCCTGTGTTTGCAGAATTAATGAAGTAATGTAGAGTCTCACTTAGCCAACTGAAAAGAGATCAGGTGAGCCTTTAAAAAACAAAACAAAACAAGCCCTGCCTTTAACTTACTGTTTAAAAGCCTTTTCCCGGCCTTCTGTTCCTTTGAGGAAAAATAAGCATTCCTCTTGCTTTCTCAGTTCTTCTGTCTTTCTTTCTTTCATCTGCTCTTCATGCTTTTTCTTAAGCCATAATCGAAAAGCTTCTTGTGGATCTCTTTCTTCTTGCTGATTAGAAAAGCAAGCTTTGCTTAATTTAGGTTGACTGTGGAACTCTACAAGAATACATATCCCACTCATCCATTTTTCATAAAAATGCCAAGCTCATTACCTGTTTATCATGTGATTTGATAAACAAATCAAAAGCACCCTGAATCATAAACACTGATTATCCTTCCATTAGGAAATTCTGGTTTCTTTCAAAAATCTTATTGAGAGGACTTTGGTAGAGTGGTAAACTGCTTACCTATTGTGTGTGAGGCCCCTGAGTTTGAAAAAAAAATTTACTGAATAATCAGTAAATGAAAACAGTTTAAAACCTGTGACTTTCGAAGCTGCGCCCTCTGACAAGACAATTTTCACTAAGTATTGTAGTATAGGATCATGGCAGTGCAGAGGATGAAAAATTACCTGGAGTCAAAATTTAGTTTAAACTCTGAGGCCCAGAGGGACTACTCCATCAAGACCCATCAGTATGAGAAAGTCTCAGGAAAACAGAACAAAGCTGAGAAATTCACGGGCTTTTACTTCTGACCCAAGGATATGAGAACAAAGATGCAGAAGAAAAAAATTTGTGTAGGAGTGTTGGCCAGGGGACAAGGAAGGAAAAGGATGGACTTCTACCCAATGCACATCAGCTCAATAGAAGAAAGCTCATCTGGGCAAGAGGAACACAATGACTGGAGCAAACTCTAAGAATAATTTGTTGATTCTGCTTGGCTGTTGCAGATTTTGCTATAATCTTTAACCGTGCATTCCAGGAGCCTAGTGGTATTGCTCCAAGGTCCCCTCATCTCTTTACATTTATTTCAATCACTCCTCCAGCCAGAGTTTCCCCACAGGAAGGTATAAATATATAAAATAAGGAACTGAATAAAGGCTGAGCATAGGTTGTACGAATGGAGTTGAGGTCTTTGGAGCAGTTCACAACGGAGCTCCATGGAATACAGTTTACAAATATAGGCTCCAACACTTATGTTATTCATACTTTTTAAAAAACTAATTTTTTAAAGTTTAAAAGTATGTCAGAAACTACTTAACTGCTAAGCCTATTCAAAAAAATTTAATTGCTATTATAGAGAATAGGGATAAGGGTTTTCAGCAATAAAAATGGTCTCAATGGTCACAACCATGGGTATTCTGATATAAGAATGAACTAGTAGGTGTAGCTTATTTCAGGACCCCTCAAAATTCACAATGGATAGAATCCTCCAGAGTTTTCAAAAGCTTAACTCTCATTTAAGGGAACAAGGAAGAGAAAAAGGACAGAGTTGAGGCTGTTTAGCCTTAAGGAAAGTATGACTTATGTGGATACTTAACTAGGTCACAAAAGGAAAGGATGCATTCATTAAATATTTGCTTCAAATATAAGCCCTATGATAGAGATTCCACCTTGTAGCTTTTTCCATCTACAACCCACATTTCCAAGTCTAATTTATATAATCTATGTAATTCAGGATCTTTGGTACACAATGAACTTTAGGGAGAGGACCTCTGGACTTAAAGTGTCATTGATGAATTTGAGACTAAATGGAGATGACTGCAAAGTACAAAGTCTGGAATTATAGACTGAACGAGTAAAGGATACAGGGAGGAACTGGAATGATATGTCAATTATTCAACAGAAACTTAGTGTTTATACATAGCAACTATATAGGTACTGTCTTGCATCAGTGAACAAGAACAGGGTTCCATCTCTCATACCTCCTATGCCTGCACTCTCTACTATAGTAGCCACTAGTCACATAAGAATATTTAAATTAAATTCAAAATTTACACCAGATGTGGTGGCACAAACCTGTAGTCCCAATTGCTTGAGGCTGAGACAAGAAGATCCTTTAAACCCAGCCTAGGCAACATGATAAGTCCCTATCTCTCTCTTCTCTGTCTCTATCTCTGTCTCTGTCTGTATCTCTCCCTCTCTCTTTCTCACACACACACACACACACACACACACACACACACACACACACACACAATCTCCTTAAAATTCGGCACCGCAGTCACATTAGCTGAATTTCAAGTGTCTAGCAGTACAGATATAGAACATTTTCATTATATAATGTTCTCTTGGGTAGCATTGTTCTACAGGAAGAGTAAAAAAAAATCAGGTAAGATCAACAGATATATCACATTCAAAAAAATAGGGGCAGGAGAGAGTGATAAAAGAAAAAGGGGGAAAGGATGGCATTTAAATAGAAAACAAGAGAAGTAGTTTTGGGATATCTAGATAAGAAGTACTTCAGGCAGTTGTAACAGTAAGAGGAATAGACTGCAGAAGGAATTGTATTTGGCATGTTCAGAAAAAAAGCAAAGAAATCAAAATGAAGCTGCAGCAAAGTAGCTATAGAGTAGCAGAAGACAAAGTCAGAGGAGTAACATTGGTCAGTAATGTTCAGCTTGTAGGCCATGGTAGAAACTCTGGACTTTATGTCAAGATGAGAAGCCACTGGAAGTTTCTGAACATGTGGTACAATTCATTCCACATTTTAGAAGGATCATTCTGACTGCTGTGTCCAAAATACACTGAGCAAGGTAGAATTAAGGTAGAAAAAGGGGAATTGGTTACTAGATTTCTGTAACAGTCCAACTAACAGGAAATGATGGTTCAAACTGGAATAGCAACAATATAAAACCAAACATTTCTGCACCACAAGAAAAAAAAAGGGCAAAGTACAGTTAATTTCCCAAAGAACTAGTTCATATAGAGTTCCTAAATGTCAAAAGGGATTAATATTACTAACAAAAAGTAAGCAAAGGATTTTTTTGTATAAAAGAAAGTTTAAACAGCTCACCAATGTCCATCTCGTTCAGCGTAATACTTTAATTAAACAGCATTTCCTACCTACCAGGTTGGTAAAGGTAAACACATTTCAAAATATGCTCTTTAATGACAGTAGAGGTGTGTAGGAACTTGTACACACTCTTGATGATAGTATTAAGCAGCTTATCTTTGGGAAGCTATTTGCCAATATCTGTCAAAATTTCAAAAAGGAATACCCAGCAATTCTATCTCCTCAAAAGTATTCTTTCTTTAAACTTTTATCTTTATAAAAATAACATAAATATAGATAATTGCAGTATTATATGATATATTTAACACCAGAAGTGGGGATAGATCACTGAGTACATTGGTCATCTATTTATGATCCCATAAGGGCCTTACTTTGGGAATAAGGGTTATATACCATATCTAATGGGATCAAGAAATTCAACACTAATTTAACTGCCTGCCAGCACAAAATTAATACTCTTTTTTGGGCTGTTTTTTTTTTTTTTTTTTTGGTACCAGGAATTGAACTCAGAACCTTGTGCTTGCCATGCTGCTGAGATATATCCCTGGCCCCAAAATTAATACTCTTTAAAAAGAATAATGTATAGACTCTCTACAAGCAAAGATCCATAGTCTAATACATAATAAAAAAAAATCACCAGACATGTGAAGAAACAGGAAAATGTGGCACATAATCCAGAGAAGAGGCTAGCAATAGAATCAGAACTTGGTTTGTGTCTGAATGTACCTCCAAAGCCTCATGCAGTCATGGGGCAGGCTTCCAGAGTTTTTGACTGATCCATGGTCCAATGCTGGGATTATGGGCATGAGTATTATACATGCCCTGGGGTGGGTAGTTTGCATACAATATAAGGGAGGGAAAGAGCCTTGCTCTCAGCAACTCCTCCATATTTGCTCTTGTTGGGGCTAGGGATTTAGCTCAGTGACACAGCGCCTGCCTGGCGAGCACAAGGTCATGAGTTCAATTCCCAGTACTGGAAAAAAAAAAAAAAAAAAAAACCAACATATTTGCTCTTGTTGCTTTTGCTGTTTTCCACAGCCATAAACTATTGCCTTCTACCATGTGCCACTCTGCCTTGGAGCCAGCTGAGTATGGACTGAAACCTCCAAAAACTCTGAGCTAAATAAACCCTTTCTTTCCTAATTTTGGGCATTGGATATTTTGTCTCAGCAAAGAGAGAAAAATAACCAAGACATTGAGATAACATAGGTACTGAAATTTACAAACAAGGAGTTTAAAATAGGTCTAATATTTTCATGAAATTAAAGAAAAAGTAGATATTGTCTGTACTGTTCTTTTGCTATTTTGTAAAAGGTTCTCTGTCCATTAATGTTTTCCTCCTTTTATTTTTAAAATATAAAAAATAATAATAATAAATATACAGATAGGGAATTTTAGTGAAGAAATATAAGCTAAAAGAAACAAGAAAATCAGAAACCTAAATTCCTTAAATTTCAATAGAAGACAGAAAATTATAGAAGTAGCAATGCCTGAAGACAAACAGAAATTACACAAACTAAGTAATTAATTTTGTGTAGACAGAATTTTAGTGATATGTGAAATAAAAGCAATATCCTAATATATGAAATTAAATTTCTGGAAGAAGAAGAGAAAGATGGGGGAAGACTGGAAGATATCGTGCTCCAAATTTTTCAGATTTGGTGTACAGCATTAGCATACAGATCCAAGAAGCTCAGTAAAACTTAGTGAGGTAAATTCTAAGAAATCACAAACAATGAACTTTTAAAAACCAATACTAGACAAATTTTAAAGGAACAAGAGAAAATAGACACACTCTGTACACAAGACCTATGTTAAGAATGATGGATGACTTTAGATTAAAAGCAAGGGAGTTATAAAACAACTGAACATCATGTTTAAAGTGCTGGGAGAAAAAACGATCAGCCCAAAATTTCATATGTACTGAAAACACCTTTAAAAACAATACATGTGATATATTATAAGCCATAGAGCAATGATTTTAAAATAATGCTAAGAGATCATTCTTTGCTTTAAAGTTTATAAGAAAAGAAAATGGAATAATTTTAAAACACATGGTTAACTTATAAGAAGGCACGACAGTATAAACAATGGCATTAGAGATATGTGACAAATATCTAATATCAAGATGATAGACATAAAGCCTACCTTATGAACTAAATACAAATGAACTCAACAAAAGGAGCAGATTGCAGAACTAGATGATCCAAATACAATCTGTGTTTGTTACTTTATTTTTGTTGAGACAGGATCACTATGTAGTCCAGGCTGGCCTTAAACTCACTATGTAGCCCAGGCTGGCCTCAACCTTGTGGCGCTCCTCCTGCCTCAGCCTCCTGAGTGCTGGGATCACAGGTGTGTGCCACATTCCACGCTACTCTTAAATATAAAGCCACAGATAAACTGAAACTATGAGAAAATATATATACTATGTAATTGGTAAGCATAAGAAAGTTGGTTGACTTCATTAACATCTGACAAAATAGACTTCAAAATAAGAAGGGCATTTTGTTATATGAAAAAGGAAACATAAAATCCTAAATGCATATACATGACACTTTAAAATACATGAAGGAAAACTAAACAAAACTTTAAGAGCTACAGGTGAGTATACAGTGATAGCTGGAGATGTTAATTACACTTTCTCAGTAATTTATAAAATAAACTGTGGTAACAGTAAGAACACAGAATATCTAAACACTACCATCAACAAACTCAATCATATGGACATTATTATAGCTCTCCATTCAAATACAGAATACACAAGGAGTATAAGTGCTCATGGAAGGTTTACCTAGATAAACCATATATACACATATATTTACATATACATACATGTACCACACATGTAACATATACACCACAGAGCAAGAAGAGCAAATTTCATCACAAAATGGAAAGACAACCAGGTGTGATAGGCTGCAACTGCAATCCCAACACTCTTGGATGCTGAGGAAGGAGGATTGCAAATATAAACACAGCCTGGGGAACTAAACGACTTAGCAAAGAACCTCTCTCAAAATAAAAAATAACAAAAGGTCTAGGTATCCACAGTGGTAATCAAAATACACATCAAATATTTAAGTTTCAAAATGTATTACAAAAGACACATTGCCATCAGTCCCACTCAAAATACTCTCCTTTGCTTTGAACACGCCTATCTATCTTTCTTGACACTTTTTAAAGTAGTACTGAAAGTCCCCCTTTGTGTCATTATAAGGTCTGATCAAAAATACAGAAAATGCTGTTACCAAGCTCCATCCAATGGAAAGGCAGGCTCATAAAAACATTAGGGTATTCTCTCGTCCAAAGGAAAAGCAGGCTCATAAATAAGTTAGTGTGTCCTCATGCATTTTATTCACTGGATCTGACACAATGTGACTTCTGTTTGTTCCCCAAAGTCAAAATAATTATGACAGGTAAATGTTTTTTAATCAACTGAGGACATCCAGGCAGTCATGACAATGCCTCTAAAGACACCCACAAAAGACTTCCAGAACTGCTTCAGAGAGTGGCAAGAATGATAAAATAAGGGTGTTCAAAATGAGGAGTATTTTGAGAGGGATTCATGGCAATATTGTCTTTTACTGTAATAATCTTTAAAATTTTGACATTTACCATAGTGCTTGATTACACCTCATAGCTCAATAGAAAGAGCCCTGAGTTCAATCCCTAGTATCACAAAAAGAAAGGAAAGACATTTTTAGCTATTCTCCTAAAAAAAGTAATAAAAATTCCATCACCTAACATCTTTCTTTCACTCAAGTAAAACAGGTCATTCTATAATCTGTATATAGAGAAGATATTTTCTGGAAACTATGACTCATTATACACAATGTCCAACACAAAACATTAACAAAATATATTTATTAGCATAGTATATTAAAAGCCAAATTAATCAAATTCCAAAGCTTCGGTAAAAATGAAGCTCATAAAATCACTTCAACATTCTATTAGCATGTTCAAGGCTAATCTGGACTATACAATGAGATCCTGTCTAAAAGAGAAGCTGATTAGGATGTTTTAAACTGTTATAATTGTGAGCATTATTTTTACTGTTTATATTATTAGAACAAAATTTTTCAGTATCCCAATTTAAATAAATGGGCAAAGGGTGTGAGCTCATGATTCTCTTGTCTGTCCCCCACGTGCTGAGATTACAGGTGCACACCACCATGATCCTCTCCTTAGATTCAATTAATTTTGTAAAGCAATTGCTAGAACTTGGAAGCAACTTTATTATAGCAACAAAGAATATAGCAAAAGTCACAGATGAACAGTCAGATGTGTAGATGTACAGGGGAAGAGGCTCAAGGCTTCGCTGCCCTCCCTGGGTCACACCACTCTAGAAGCACCTTCATGTGTTCAGCACCCTAAACCCACAGCTCAGGGATTCCTATGAAGGCTTCATAGTATAGTCACGGTCAGTTAGTAACTCAGTCTCTAGCCCAGTGATGGTGAACCTTTCAGAGCTTTCAGTAACAAATGGCCAGCCGCAGTTTGTGTGTGACAGGTTCACCACCACTTCATCTACCTTCTCTCCCCTTCCCAGGTGATGGGGGCTAAGCTGAAGGTTCCAAGATTCTAATCATGGCTTAGTCCTTCTGCTGCTCCATTCAGAAGTCCACCAAGAGTCACTTCATTTGAACAAAAAACACCTTCTCATCATTGAGAAATTCTAAGAGATTCAGAGTTTCATGTCAGGACAAGAGTCAAAGATAAAATATTCATAGATACACCTAGCATCCTTATTGCTGAAAAATTACAGGAACTTAAGAGTTCTCTAGTACCAGAGGCAGAGACCAATAAGTGTGTATTTCTTATTATTTTACAAACATATGCAAATCCACACTCGTATATAATCATGTGTATTATTAATTTGAAGAAAAAAATGAGACAAATCACAGTGTTAGGTAGAGTATAGCAAACATACTCTCACACATTTTTGGAGGGACTACAATTGGTATAATAAATTTTGCTGATTTAACTAAAAATTTGCCTCTAAACATTCAAAAATCATAAAGTTTACTCTTAAGAAACTCCTACAGATTACTGATGTTCCCCCAAGGCATACATCTTCATTGCTGCACTGTTAACAGCATAATATTGGAACCTATCTAACTATCCATAAGTGGGGAATTGTTTAGTAAATTAATAATGGTGTACCATGTATCTTTTTCAAAAGAAAAAAGAGACTGAAACATAATAGCTTAGAAGGATGCCCATGATGAAGTGAAAAAAAAAACTCCATAATAAAATTTGGGGCATATAAATAGATAAAAGGTATGAATGGATTTGCATTATACCATTAAAACTGGTTATCCCTGGGATGAGTCTGTAGAGCAGACTGAATTTTCCATTTTTACTCTATACATACATAGTGAACTAGTGTTGATATAGATGATTTTTTATTCTCTCTTGGATTTTATTTCAAATGCTTAAAAATTAATTTGGTACCTTAATTTGCTAGCTTTTATGTAAGATTTCTGTATGTTTACTCTAAAATGTGTGTATGTGTGTGCATATTTTTGTCCTACCTGAACATCAAAGTTGTTATCTTGAAAAAAAATGAATTGGTAGTTTTCTATTTTCTGGGCTATGAAAACCTGAATAAAATAGGAATCGTTTGATTTTGACAGAGCTTCTTAGAAGCTGATATTAAAGTCATCTGCCAGGAATATCCTCGAAGTTTTTTCTACTTCTTCCACCAGCTCTCAGTCTGCTACATCCAGACTCCCTTCTATGAATAAGATTAGTTTAAGAACTATATGGACTTCTTCTCCATGGAAAAGTTATACTCACTCTGTTGCTCATATCCTCAATTTGCTTAGCTCGCTGGATTCTCCTCATTTCTACAACCTTTTCTCTCTTTTTTTGCAACCATGCTTTGAAGACCATGTCGTTCTCTTTTTTCTTTTGTTTCTCTTCTTCTATTTTTCGTTGTTGTTCCTAGAGGGAAGAGTATGAAAAGGTATGAGTGAAAAATTATATAATATAGTGCATGAGCTATCAGAATAGACATAAGACACAAAATTAAGACTTCCTGTCCTGAAACTTTCCCACCTGAAAATATTTTCTCTTTAGAAAATAGGACTCAGAGTCAGGCGTGGTGGCACAGGTTTGTGATTCCAGCATTCTGGGAGGCTGAGACAGGAGGACTGCAGGTTGTAGCCCAAGACTGGGCAACTCAGTGACTTAGTGAGAAACTATTTCAAAATAAAAGAAAAAGGCTGGGGATGTAGCTCAGTGAGAAGGCTCTGGGTACAATCCCCAGCCCCCGCCTGCTATAGCAGGACCTCTAATGTGCTTAGGAGGGAGAAACAATTTTTAAAAGGTAAGTTGTCTTAGTTTCTTTCTTGCCACAGAGACACACTGCCTGACACGGCTGAAAGGAAGAAAGGCTTATGCTGGCTCACACTTGCAGCTGGCTTCTCCACTTCCTGGGGTCCCATTCTGCTGTCAGCTTTACCCTCACAGCCTCACACATGCCCTCTCAGAGGACACGGCCTGGCCTCCGAGGCTTTCTTCTGAAATCAAGATGGATGCCCCCATGACCCCGCACCCAACTTATACTCTACTTTCACTACAGTGCCCACTTGCGTTCTTACCTCTCTCTTAAGCTTTTCTCTCTTCTTTTCTAGCTGTTTCTGGAGTTCTTTCTGTTGAAGGGAAAGATAGTATGTTGAGGTCACTGGCGATATATTGGCAGACTGTGTCCGATGATGAGATTTCCCATTTGCTTTATTTCGATCTGAGGTGGCAGCAGAGCGAGGATGAGTCTTGGGGTTGAGTGGTGGCTGAGGGACATAAGCCAATGATGGCTCTCCTGTTGATAACTGAGTAATGTGTATCTTTGCACTGGGCTCCTCTTTCTTGATGCCGTTGACAGATGAGTTGGGAGATCTGAGTACCAACTGCTGAGGTTCATGTTCTGTACTATTAGCATTAATAATGGGGGGCAAAAACCCCTGGCTCTCAATGTCTTGTAAATTCAGAAGTTCAAACTTTCCATCTCTCTCTACCAGTATCTTCATATCCTTGTTTTCTTCAAAGCTTCCATCAGTAAGTGACAGGAGTACCTTTTCTTGCCCTAACTCACTTGAAATGCATAACTGTGACAGTTTTCCGGACATACTACTTTCATTTTCAAAATAAGTTCTGTAAGTATCACTGTCTTCTAGTGGAGGCACTTCCAAATCAACTAATTTGTCCTTGAACTTAAGTTTTCGCTCCCTTTTCTCATCCACGGGTTCTTGGGTCTGTAGAAGCTTGTTAGCTTGTATAATTTTCTCCTTAATATATCTGCTTACTTCCTCATCTTCTTCCTCCTCCAAGTCTTTCTGACTTTCTAGTTTGGATTCCTGAGAAGAGTTCTCACTATCTGAATCTGATATGCGATCCAAACACTGAATACTTGGGACAGAAATAAAGTCATTTCTTCTTGGTGACATTTCATCCTTCAAAGATTTATCCAGATCAGAAAGCTGTTTCATGTGTTCTATTTCTGTTTCATTTTCTTTTAATTCCTGATTAATATTCTCTTCCTTCTCATAAGCCATCTAAAAAAAGATGAGGTTCTATTTTTCAGCAAAATTGAGACTGTTCATTTAATACACAATCCCAAGTAGAACTTTCTTATTCATGTAGTTTATAGATGGAAATATTTTAAGTACTTCTTGCTCATACTGCACTTGTAATATTCTGATTTATATTTATTAGTATTCTAAGGGTAACATATATGACAACCATCAGGGAAAATATAATTCTACCTATGAATTTGATATGAATTTGATGTTGCTAAGTGCTACACTGATATAAAAAAAAAAAACAATTTTGTGCTAATGCATAAAAAGGTAACTATAAATAATACAATATTGTTTTAATATCTCTGCCTATGAAATGTTTCTCCATTTACATTTTCAGAGCAGTTTTATAAAATGTTTCCTCCTTGTAACATCTGCATTCTTCTAAAAGACATCTTCCTCCCCAGATCATTACAAGGTCAGGTCTTTTGGTCAAGTCCTAATCATTTGAGGTTAAAAATGATTAAAAGAATTATTCAGACTAGTATTGTTGCTAACATCTGCAAGACCTATATCCAAATTCCAGGTAAACTGTTATGTCTTGATCAGATCGTCCTTCCTCAACTATTCTCAGAGGCTTCAATAATCCATACTAACCATCATCAAATAACTTAACCTTACATTAAAAAATTTTAATTCTGCAAACCCTATGCATCAAAAAACTCTGCTCCACATCTGTTGATTCTAACTAAAGGATCCTTCCCTAGCATTGCTCCCATATACACACTTCATTCACATTACACTTTATTCCTGCAATATGTAATTTTTTTCTCTTTTTCAATTCTCTCCCTCCTAATGCAGTTCTAAGAGATACCATATGCTGCTTATTTCAACTCCTTGAAATTGATTTTCTCCTTTACTTGCTCTCAGGTTATCTTTTCTGACAGCCTTTACTTCCTAACCTGCAAAACATGCTAGATATCTAGCCTACCAATAAACTTGGCCCATTAAAATGATTGCCAAATAACTACAATTTAAGTATGATCTCTGCATTGCTCTTTTTTCAAAGCCTTGATTCTCTGGTTCATTTCTACAGTATCTATCTATGAATTCTCCTTTGGTTTTCTTTTCTTTTCTTTTTGAAACTCACCTTTTACAAAGAAATCTTCTCCTGGTTCTCTTACCTGTTTCAAGTTTTGTCATTTTTTTTTTCTCTCCAGCTTCAAAGGAAGTGGTTATTATACTCATGCATTGGAATGTATAAGATTCAAGAAAGCAGTTTGGTTTTTGTTTGTTTGTTTGTTTTGGGTGTTTTGTTTTGTTTTGTTTTGTACCAGGAATTGAACTCAGGGCCTCATACTTGTCAGGCAGGCACTGAGCTTCTGAGCTATATCCCTGGCCCAAGTACTTTGTTTATGGATTCCTAGCTTATCCTCAGCACCTAGAATAAACTCTGACATACAGTAGGGGCTCATTACATTCATTGAGTGAATTAAAAAGTCAAACTAAGAATCAGTGTTATTATGGTGACAAGAGCTGTCAGCATCCAAACTTCTTTGGTAGCACACTTCTGCCCAGCACGAACCATACAGTCATGAGGTGCTGCAGTAATGAGGGAGGACTAAAGCAGCATAAGGTAAAAGTAAATACAAAAGCATCCTTTCCTCCCCAGAGCTAATGTCGTATCTTTCCCAAACACCAGCTGTCCTTATCTAACATCTGAGGGAACTTTTGTGAAGCCTGAGCCAGACCTTAAGCATTTGCAACTTTAGTTACAACATAGGTGGTCCTAAAAAATTAGCAAGGAATAGGATGCCCTGGAAAATGCATTTCTAAAATAGTTACATTTGCCAACTCAGATCCTTTCCTATTTCTTTAATCCCTTATTAAAATCCCTAATTAAAAAAACACAAATCTCTCTCCCTAAGTGTGCTGATCCTCTCTTGGAAACTCACTCACTGTCCCTCTTGACAGTGTGCCCAGTGATCTGCATGAACTCTTTTCTTTCCTATATTCTTTGTCTGTAGGTAAACTCGTTACACAGTTCATGGTCAGTGGTTCTCTCTATGCGCACAGTCTGACATGGCAATCTCTGCCTCTCTAATTCTATCTCCGTGCCGTGGATCTCATACCACTCCCATCATGAGATCTGGGTTCTGCCTTTCACACTGGGTATTTCTGCCTCTACTCATTATTTTCTATGAAGAGGCATAAAATTTCCTTTTAAAAGCCATCTTAAAAATCTTTCACTTTTGAGTCTGTTGCCTCTTTCAGATATTATTTAGCCCATTTGTCTTCTGCATTGCATAAAAAAGCAAAACAGACATAAGAGAAGTTTGTAAAACCTGTCCTCTGCTATTACTGCAGATCACTATCCTTCTAGGGCCACCTATTCACAATCCGGTCTTAGTGTTTTTCATGATTTCCCCACTTATTGACACTAAAATAACCATTATCCAGGAACTGGTTCATTTTCCTGGATTGCCCTTCTATATCTCTGATAAACAGTAAATGATTATGTTTAATGGGTCACATTTTCCTGGAAGTGTCTTATGGCTTAGTCTTTGACCTTTTACTTTACCTCTATATTCATTCCTCTGAAGAACTTATTTAACCTTAAAGTTTCAACTACCTGCTAAAGATTGTTTTTCAAGGATTTTTTTTATTTTCCATTTGTATTAAAATATTACCCCATGATTTTACTCAAGTTCAAAGACAGTAGGAATTCACCATAATTTTTAATTTTTGACCAGCAAATCATGATTTTATTATTTCTTTATATTATTTAGATTATACTTATCAGTTTAGCTCTAAATGCTAATTTAATCCTTGTTCTTGCACTAGCCCCATGTCTTAGAATACATCTAAACTCTCTATGCCTCAATTTTCTCACCTCTAACATAAGGATGATGGTATTTGTACACCAACGTACACCAAAAAAATTTGTGAGAATTAGATAACACATGTGAGAACTTCAGTACCACAAAGCACTTTCCTAATATAATTATTATAAATGTCGCGGCAATTCATATATACCTCTATTATGCTGGCATCAATTTCTTTTTCATTAATTAACCACTCAAGGTCCTTTTCAAAGTCATCTTCATATTCTCCACTTTCTTTTGAATCGGTGTCTTTATTTTCATTCATTTTCAGTTTGTTAAAGAATGACTGCTACAAGATTTTAAAAGATAAGGTACACATTAAATCCCTGCTAGAGGTAGAATAGAGTATGGAGATTAATGTTGAAGGTAATTAACACATAGTAACAACATATAACTTTCAAAATAACCACATATTCATATACATCCTAAAATACACTTACAATGGCAAGACACTTCCATAAGTGGATATTTCTAACAACCCGTCCACCTCCTCCCCAACTCCCAAATTGCTCGTCTACAAGGAGACTTAAAAAGGGAAATAGGAATGAGGTTTAGAAAAGGATTTCTCACATCTGTTGCCAATTATCAAAACTGACCCTATCAGATCAAATGACTCAGTTTTTTAAGGTTTACTTATTTACATTTGCAATGTTCAAATAAAAATGAGTATACCATTTCCCATCTTCAGCTTCTCAATCTTTCTCATAATTTGTATATTGTAATCATACTGTGTGATCTCATGACTTTTAGTAAGTATGTAATAACTGATTCTTAACCACAATGAATTGTCAGTCAACCCTACATACACTTCTTCTTAAAGAAAAATTCTTTAATACCTAACACTATCAAGAACACAGTAATAAATAGAAATGTCAAATGAATGATAATGTTTGTTAAAATATTATATAAATTCAGTCATTAAATGGAGGTCAGTTGCAAGCCCTGCCAACTTTTCAAGCAAATGAAGTATAAAAATCTTCAACTACAATGTCTGTATCTATACCTGTGTATTAGCTTACATATGTACATATAGGATAACTCTGATAAACATTTGAGAACACTTTTTTTTTTGTCTTTTTGAGACAGGGTCTCACTGTGCAGTTCAGGCTGGCCTTGAGCTCACACTGTAGCCCAGGCTGGTCTCGAACTCGCAACGATCCTCCTGCTTCAGCCTCCCGAGTGAGAGAACATTTATTATAGTCCCACATATACTCCTTTAACAATTTATAAAATGGACCTATGCTTTTGCAGTGGGGCCTGCAGTCTCCAGAAAAGACAAAGCTAAATAAAAAAATATAAATAGCTGAAATCAAAATACATGAGACTAAAATGTATACAAAGTGATTAATTCCATAAAAATTATTAATTATTTAACTTCATTATTCAACTGGATCATTATTTCTAAAACAAATTATTTAGATTATAATTATTTGCATTATATTATAATCCAAATTATTTGGATAATTCAAATTAGAATAATTATATACAACAATATAATTAATAATATAATTAATAATTATAATTATCTGGATTATAGTATACTTATTTGGATTATATTATAAGGCAAATTATTCGGACTATAATTCCTCTCGGATTATTTTAAACTAAAATTACAAAATGGATCTTCTTAGGGGCTGGGGATTTAGCTCAGCGGCAAAGCACCTGCCTAGCAAGCGCAAGGTCGTGAGTTCAGTTCCCGGTACCGGAGAAAAACCAAAAAAAAAAAACCCAAAAAACAAAAAACAAAAAACAAAATGGATCTTCTTAAGGGACTCAAAAGTAATGCTTCTATAGTTTCCAAATTAGAGGGTGAAGCAATCATTTTTTAATTTTTAAAAATTTTTGGCACTGCTACTGATTGAATCCAGGGTGTTGTGAATTGCAGGCAAGTTCTCTACTGCGAAGTTATGCCCTGGCCTTTTTGTTGTGGTTGTTTGATTTGCTTTGTTTTGGTTTTTGTTTTTTGAGTCAGAGTCTAAGATATCAAGGCTGGCCTTTCATTTGTGATCTTTTTGCCTCCGACTCCCAAGCAGCTGGCATTCCAAGTGTGCACTATCTCATTCAGCAAGGGCAATAGTACTTTGAGCTAAACCGGACAAGCTAAATCAGTATTTCTGAGTTAGTTTACTTACTACTCCCTAGCTGCAAGGTAGGCTCTACGCCTACCAACACACCAGTTAAAAATAAAGACACCATAAATAATGTGCAACACACTAAAACTCATTCTAACCTAAAATACTTACATATATAATACAATTTTTCACACTCACAATGTCTTGGGATACTTTCTTTTCAGACCAAAGATCTTGAGATTTATTATTTTAAGATGTGTAAGACTGAGGGAGGAAGATGGTACGTCAGAACCCAGTGGGCAACTTGGTGACAGCAGACTCTGTCTTAAAACAGAAAACAAAAAGGGCTGGAGATGTGTAGCTCAGTGCGAAGGCCCTGTTCAATTCCCAATACCACAAAAAGAAAAAAAATAAAACAGTAAATAGTTAAAGTACTATTGAAACAAAGTCCTTAATGTTTTACCTAAAGTTTATAGTAAATACAGTCCTAAACTAATAAGTAAATGATTTCCTGAGGACTGCGGTAAACATGCTTCATTATTTACAAAGAATCCCACCCAGGTGAAAACCCAAGTATAAAACTAAAACATGCAATCAACAGTAAAAAATATAATGATTACAAATTAAACATAAGTGTTATTAAGTAGTACCATGATAATTTAAGAGACAAAACATTGTTGAAGTAACTATGAGGGGTAAATAAAGCTGCATCATATATGAAGTTATTATATGCCTGAATTTAAAAAAACTCATGACTGATTCTAAGTAAACAAAAAACATAAATCATAAATTCTTGTTACCAAGTCCCTTAAGCCTTTTCAAATGCGTCACAGGATATTAAACCCCTTCAATTCTTTTAATCTTCATCCCCAGGAGACTGTCCATATGGTACATAGTCAACATGCTAGAACAAAAACACTTCTTAAATAAACCAAATTACTTGGCACTTCTTTCCACTGTGAGTTTCACACATTTAAATCCCGACATTTATCATCTGTAAAAACCTGGGTAAGTAGCTTAGACCAGATCCACCCTCTGCACAAGCACCTGTAGTACGACACTGAAATTAATTCCTTCCTCCTAAGCGTCGACATATCCTGTGTGAATAGGTGACTGCAGATCTTTTAGTGCGAGTCACAGCCAAGTCCATATGTATACATAATTTTGATAACTTTCACCCAATAGAATATTCAAAAATATTTTCATCTAATTTATTGACTCCCGTCTTACCCTATAGCCTTCTAAATGTATATTTAAAAATCAAGAACTCAAAGAACATTGAAGCAAAATGTCTTATAAATTAAGTAGTTAAGCAAAAAAAAGTGCATTACTTAAGGAAAAATCTCTAACATTATGAAACCATCATCCCCAGTTGTCCTGACGCAACCCACCAAGACTGTGATCCCATGAGTACATTTTTAAATATCACGAATTATCACGATAAGCTACATTATACAAGCACTGGGTGATGTGAATTTGCATTAGCGTCCCAAGGTATTGTTGACTAAATGAGTATTATAGCCTCCTGGTGGAAGCTAATGTTTCTGGAGTGACTTTTTCCCCTCACGGATGAAATTATTACCTTTCATGTTCGAGAACTTTGAGAGGGGAAAGAATTTGATAAATATTCGGGGCATCTACGCTGTCCTCGGAGGGGTTTCCCTGATACAAAGCGAAGCCCGGGGGCAAAGGAGAAAACTGGGTTCTGTAGATCCTGGATCTGATCCTCACACCAGACACGCGTACCTCGACCCTCTCCCCCCCACAACCATTTCCGCAACATCCTTCCCTTCTCTCCCTCTAGACCCACTCCTGCCTGTGTTAGATGCGACGGCTGGGGTCACAGAGATGGCCGGGGGAGTTCTCCTCCCCTTGTCTTTCTAAGCTCTGACCAGCAGGCAAAGGAGACCCCAGCGTTACCATGACAACGGCGTCACCGCGTCCTCCATCCGGGCTTTTTTTTTTTTTTTTTTTTTTTGCTTGCGCAGGCGCAGACGACAAACTGAGGTGTCAGATGACACTTTGGTCCGCGCCGGCAGGCTCTTCTCCAAAGACAAGCAACGTACCAATAAATTTTTGAATAGTCCAAATTGTAGAGTAAGTTAAGTTTATAAAAAATGTGAACGTTAAAATTAATTAAATACAGAGTGTACTTCTTAGCTCAGGTGTAGAATTTATAAATGTAATGACCAGCTGTTTCTACTGCTTCAGGATCCACCGAGGCTAGACACCTGAAGAAGACAAAAAAAGATTATTGACTTAAAGGAAATGTTGTCACATCCGCTTCAGTGAATGTAGAATTACGACTAAAGCTAGAAGTAGCCCGTCGGTTTCAAAACTTTTAGTGTTTTTTCCTCTGACCACACCTCAGAGGTGTAAATATGTTTTCGTAAATAATGATAGATGGCATAACACAATGAACCTGAAAACAAATACGTCATATGAAATAAGGTAAACACAAAAGATTGCAAATGTAAATTCCATTTATATGAAATGTCCAGAAGAGGGACACAAAGTAGATTAGTAACTGCCGCAGGCTGAGGCAGGGGAGTGGTTAGAAGGAACTACTGTAGAGGTATGACTACTGGAAGGGGTGATTTGTATCGTATATGAATTATATATCAAAAAAGATGTTACAAAAGAGTAATTGAATAGTAGGCAAGCCATAACTAGAAAGTTGAAAATATTTGGAAAATATTTTCCTATCTCCTATGTTTAACTAACTCATGAAATATTTTAATTTCTAAATCTAGTTTCTCCTCTATAACATAGAGAATATTTGTCTTTAAGGTTGTGAGGACTGAGCTGATCCATGTGTTTAGCTCTTGCATGATACGTATAAACTGTTGAACAAAAGTTGACTGTTATCATTACATAATTTTTCAAAAGCAGGTTCTAAAATCTTGATAATGCTTATGTGAGTATTCTACAAGAAAACTATTGCCTGTATCAGTATTTTAATTTGTAAATATCTATATGTTAACCAGTTTCAGAGAACATATATTAAGCATTAAAATAGATTTCTTGTTTATATAACCTAGCATTAAAGGTGAAATGAGTAGCATTACATTCAGAAAAAAGATCTCACTAAAATGGTGGAGTTCCAGTTCTCTCAACCACCTCGTTGTGAACAAAAACAAGTGAAAAAGGCTTGGAAGCAATAATGCAAAACTTACCCTTTGTGATCTAAGCTTGACCAGTTTGTAGGACTTTCACAGACCTTTTGCTTACGTTATTCTCATAAACTCGGATCTCTATATTCCTAGCACAGAAATTATAATGTGATCACTTGAAGGAATAGAAACAAGGGGATTGTTAATAGTAAGTGCAATGACACCAGAAGAAAACCGAGAATTCTGACAGAATGACATGTAAGAAGAAGAAATGACAAAAAGAATTAAAAGCAGAGACAACCTAGAATAAAGGCAAACTGAGACAAATACTAAATTGCAATATTGTACAGTCATTTACAAACCACAAAAATAAGCCCAAGATACTAAAAAGGTTTATTTCACTCTTTTTTTTTTAATTTAAAAAGGCAAAGACTATTTGGTTTTCAGTAATTTAGTTTGATTTTGTTTATTGAGCTCACTTGGAAGTAATTCCTACCCTTGACATGTGGGAGCTCAGAGATTGATAAAAGGAAGAGTGCTACATGGCACAAAATGGAGATTTACCTTTTTTTAAATGCAGAGATCAATTAAGAGGGACAACCAAGTGCACACTGCAGAATTGACTTTTGAAGAATGAAAGGAATTATGCAAGAAGGGTAGGGTTTTGTATACAGACATTATAGCACATGCAAAGTTGTGGAGGCACCAACCTATTTACTCTTGGATGTTTGGGTAATTGAGAATTGCTGACTTGAAAGATGGGTGTGGTATAAAATGAAATGTATGTCTCACTACTCGTGGCAGCCTCTTAGGTGTTGCAAACATACTCTAAAAACCAGTGTAATAAAATATATGAATTATCATCAAAATTAATATTGTCCTTAGTAAAGTTAAGTATATCATGCATTTCTACTAAATTACGAGTTCCTTAAAAGCAAAGACTGAGTTTTAGAAATTTCTGTACATGTCTCAGTACAGGCGTGTAAGCATTTAATGAAGTCCTGCTAAGTTCACATGACTAATATATTTTTAAGTGGGTTAATTTTAAAGATAATAAACTAATTTTATTGTAATTAAATTACATATATGTAATTAACTTCATAATTTCCTTCTAATCAGGATAGTGGAGATTACAGAAGGAATTGGTGTTTTAATAGTCAAAGAGAAGAAAGGAATAAATTTCTAAAATGTTTGAAAGTGCAGAACTTCGGTAAATAAATATAATCATAAGTATCATGAAATCACAAGATTTGCATGTAGACAAGGAAGAAATAATGGAGGATGCTAATGACACGCCTTGTAGGGCAAGGCACCCATTCCCTCTCCATACACATGCTGTTCAGGATCATCTCTCTCCCCTCTGATGTGAGTGTCCTTGGGCTGACAGTGACTGATCAAAAAGAGAAAATTAAGGAAATGTAAAAATAAGATGATTTAGGGCCGGGGATATAGTCCAGTGGCACAAGCGCCTGCCTGGCAAGCACAAGGTCCTGAGTTTGATTCCTGGTACCAAAAAATAAGGAACAAGTTGATCTAGGAAGAACCAATTACATAAAGAAAAGGAAGTTGTTTGCTGTACAATATCTTTCACTTACATTTATGATTTTTAAAGTCTATTATGCTAATTATAAGTAAATGACTATTTCAGTGTTAGAGCAAATAAATTTACTATATATATGTGTGTATATATATAATTATGTGCAAACACTGTTTTCCTTCTCTACAACTTGATATTAATTATAGTGACAAATTTAAAATGTGTATATCCTAAAATAAGAGCCCAGAAATACACCCCCAATTTTGTCATTTTCATTATACACTATGTAAAATAAGTACACAATACAAGGAAAAGTGATGTAAAGTTGAGCAACTCTATACATGTGTTTTGAATGGTTTAACTTAGAAAAGCCAATATTCAATTTTAGTGACCAAGTAGAAAGATTAAATAAAGTGCTAAGAATTTGGAAGATATGGCCATATATGCCTCCTAAAACACTGTTCAAATATGGTTTACAGAAAATATTTAGATTTCACATAGTTAAAAAACATTTTAAATCACTCAACAAATAGTTATTCAGCACTTATGTGTCAGATACTGTTCTATGTACTTAAAATTTATCAGTGCACTGGTGTATTACCTGGAAGTCAATCACCTACAACCTCATTGCAAAAACCAAACAAAAACCATACAAGACTTCAAAACAATAATACAAATCTATTACAAAATTTGTGAGTCTCTTTTTGTTTTACATTATTCTAATAAACTCAGATTTCTTAGTTCCCAGTCCAGAAATTAGAATATGATAATTTAAAAGGAGCAGAAATAAAATAGATGTGATATTTAAGTGGGTTGTTTTTCTGATTTTTTACACTTATGCATTCTACCTTTAATGCTCATTATTTATAGAACACAGGGACTAGGGGCTGGGGATTTAGCTCAGCGGCAAAAAGCGCCTGCCTGGTAAGCGCAAGGTCGTGAGTTCGGTTCCTGGTACCGGAGAAAAAACAAAAAAAAACAAAAACAAAAACAACAACAAAAAAATAGAACACAGGGACTGTATTTGAATGTATTTGAAACAGATACATTAACATTGAGATATTTTGGAAATTAAACAACTGTTTGATAATATGAGGAATATTATCTTTAAAAACTCAGAAATTTTTGTCTTCAGTGAAAGGAACTCACTTTCTAATAGGGAAAGAAAACAATAATTAATAAACATGCTAAAATATATGATATGATATGCTAAAAAGTGATTATATGCAAATCATACATGTGTCTCATTCATGGATGGAGTTATACTGAAACTATTCCTAATTATAAATATCCCAGGATATTCTTTTTATGATTTATCCTTATAAATGAGTCACCTTGAAGGCTGGAGGGCTTGAATTTGCCTCTGACCCTTAGCAGCAGGAGAGACCCACTTCAAGTTTGTATTCCAGCAATAGGTTCTTTAGAACAAATGATCTCAGTAAAAAAAAAAAAAAAAGTATTTACAGACTTCATTATTTTCATATGTTCAGTAAAATGGTCAGCCTTTTCAGTGTTTTTCCAGGCATTATAGGACAGAAGTTTAGAGGGATTCCCTGCTGTAAGATTCTGGTTCACATAGTACATGATTAGGAGTTCTATACTTAACTATTAAATGAAAAACTCCTGTGCTTAACTCTTAAGTCTTAACTGGCTTGAGAAGAATACATCATCATGTGAAGGAAACAAAATGAAACCGAATTTAGCCTTTAAGAAAGGAACAAACAATTTACATGTTAACTTATTAACAAAAAATCCATGTGTTTAAGAGTGATTTGTAGATTTTCTTGGTCTGTTGATTTTCTTTCTTGTGAAATTTGTCCTTGGAATTAGGACAATGCTGGCATCATAGAATTAGGAAGTGTTCCCTCTGCTTCTATTTTCTAGAAGGTACTGTAGAGAGTTAACAGCATTTCCTTCTTAAATATTTGATGTAATTCAACAGTGAAACCATGTGGGCTTGATGTTTCGTTTTTGGGAAAATTACTAGTTAGTGATTCAATTTATTTAATAGATGAGATCTATTCAGATTGTGTCTTTCAGTGAGTTCTTTCATCTGAGTTATGAAATTTATGGGGATAGACGTGCTCATATTATTCATTAACCTTAAATGTCTATGGGATTAGTAGAAATGATTCCTCTTTCATTTCTGATAATGACAGTTTGTGTCTTCTCTGTTTTTTCCCTCAGTTCACTTGCCTAGAATTTTATTGATGTTACTGATATTTTCAAAGAATTCTCTCTTTGGTTTTTCTCTCATTTTCCTGTTTTAAATTTCATTGATTTCTTCTCCAATTTTTATTATTT